TTCAGTTAGTAAACATTGTGACGTTTTTTATGGGTGGAGCTTAGGTGGAGGCAGAAAGTTTCCCCTGACCGCTTCACTAACGCTAGCTAGCAGGTTTTGTTTGCTTGTTTTTTAACAATGACAGGAGAAAATTCTATTTTATCTTAATATGTAATGTCTCACTGTCCGGGATCCTGTCTCACTCACTGTCTGGGATTGTGATTATTATTTGAAAATGTTAACTTAACAGAAGGAACCAGATTGGCCGACTCGTACACACTCACTCAATGGATGGACAATCTGACAGCAGTGGTCTGACACACCTACCAGAGAGAGAAACCGAGTGCGTATAGTAAATAGAAACTGAGGGCATATAAATCTTTAGATGCCTATAAATATGTACTAACAGTGGCAATTGTAAGCAAATGCAACTACTTGAACACATACCTGACACATAACATGAGCCTTCACTGTTCCCTCTCTCTACAATTGCACTTATGGCAATTGTAGAAAGCGAGACGACAAACGGTTTCCTTTGTTTATCCGCTGGTCGTTAGTTAACTTGTTCCCCAATTTCTGAGTAGGTGGGCATGCATGAGAGATCTTTAGACTTATAACCAAACCATAATCCATACCAACAAAAAGACAATAGTTTATTTAACCTGAACTGATACGAAGTGCGCGCTGCAAATGCGAAAATTTTTGATGATCGTTTCTGTCCAGTCCACTCGTTTTATTGCTTTTAAACACAGCTGTCGTCGTTTTTTTGTCTGGCAATGGCAGCAAGAATGCGATAAAATTTCAAATTGGAGCCTGTACTCCATCGATTCTGACACTCAACAACACAAGAAGATGTCATTTTACGCTCCTTAAGTAGCCAAATTATGCGAGTCGGCTACATATGTGTGACTTATGTGCTGGTTTGTATTGGCCACCTCCAGTTATCCCTTTGTTTTGCCTCCAGCTAATGCTGTGAGGTAATTATGATGTCGGCACTAAAAGGGTCTATATATATATATATATATATATATATATATATATATTCACACACACTCAAACACATAAAGTTTAGGTTTAAAATTACTATTGCATACATTTAAAAATAACAACAAAATGTATCTATATTACTAGATCATAATTAATGTAATGAACTGTGGTTATTCTGTTAGGACACTTGTGTGAACTTTAGAGGAAGTACTGTATACATGCTGTTTGTGAAAGCAGAAAATGAAAGGTAAATATCTGTTTATTACTCTGACTCTAGCCTGCAGGACAGTACTGAAGTTTAGTTAAAGTCTTAATTAAAGTCCTTAGATTTCCCCCTCAGCAAACCTTGTATGCCTTACCTACCAAAGTCACAGCTTCAGTCCTTACCTTGAGTTAGACGTCAAACATATTACATTATATTATGTGTAGAATTACTGCCACCCTACGTGTAGGAGAGAGAGAGAGAACATGAGTGAGGTAGAGAGGGAAAGGATTGGGACCGATTGTCAGCACAACCTTTTAAGTTTTCCTCTCAAGGCAGTAAAGCGTTTTATTTTGCCTGTGATCCTTCTACTTGTCACAGCAATTTCCCCAGTTGTTCATCATCCTTTAACTGCTTCCACATTAGCATTATCATCTCCTTCCTGCTTCACCTGAAGGTGTCTCTCACCACAATTTCTCTAAATGTGAATGGTATTCATCTTCCCTTGTCAAGTCATCGAGTCCTGCAAAATGAAAAATGGAGCGAATCACATCCAAGAGGGAGAACAGATATGAGTGCTCTAGTTTACCAAACATCGTACAAGACCAGGGGGACTCAAAAGTGAATAAATGTTTCATCAAATACAAAAATCTCTTTTTTCTCATTTCCATTGAGGGTTATCTTCAATCTTTGTTCAGTCGACTTTCCGAAGATGCTGGAAAGTTTCAACTGCAGCCCAGAAATTCATCATGGAAATTTACACTGCATTCTTTCACTCTCTGTTTTTACGTGGAGGTGTTGTCTTAATTAAGTTTTGTGAAGAATGATATGTGGACTCCCCAATCCATGGGAAACAGATTGATTTCATATTATACAGGGAACTTTCAAATTACTGGGCTATTACTGGCTGTTTGCGTCATTTATAATGAATGAACATGATGTTCTCAAGCTGTTGCGTTATTTGACAACAACATTTTACACCCATTTTAAAGTTTACACAGATAAACAGAAATTGTTATTTTGTTTACATATGATTTTTAACCATATTTGATAAAGCACAGCCTCTGAAATACTGATATGCTCTGGACCATTTTAGATGGAAATGTCTTCATGAATGTAGTCCTTTCCTGACTGAGTTCTCATATGCTGCTGTTAAGCTTACAGCAAAATTAGTAATTATAGAGAAAATACAGGGTTGCTCGTCTGTGCGATTTCAAACAGCACTACTTTCACATCTGCTTCAGCAAATGATCCTCTCAGCCGTGCCTCAGGATGGCAGCCTGCGCTAATTACCAGCAAAACTAGTTTGGCTTATTTCTACAAATTATTAAGACTTTATCTTAAGTGGACCAGAACTCAATCTTGGAGCAAAAATTTTATTTGGCACATAGGATCAGCACTGCAGTGTACTGCAGAAATAATTTAATGTTTACCCTTTGCAGATCATTTGGATGTTTTTTAAACACTAAAGGTGCAAATTATATTACCGTCATCACATAGAACTATTCATTATTTGTTCGTTTTTGTTTAAAAATTCAAAGATTTTTAAGATTAACATCATTCCTCTTTATACTGCAACCTAAATTATAGCTATGATTTGAGCAAAGATAACAGCTGTCCTAATATTCATACCAACAGTATTGCTGTGATAATGCTTTTATAAAACACTTGGAAGAGAAAATCATGAAGGTAATATTGAGTAACTTGCATTTTAGACACAATATTGACAGCTGTGACCCAGCTGTGGGTCTATTTGACCTCCACCAGAGAGAATAACTGTGGAAGCAAAGTCAACTGCTGCGTCTCTGAGCAACACACAGTGGTGTTTTGGTCCTGAATTAATCAGTGTTTTTGAAGGAGTCGTGAATGATTCAGTGACTCACTCACATAGACAGCCACTTGATTCATTACTGAACGAATCAGTGTTTTAAACAAATCTTTTGAACGTTGTTTCTTTACATTCATGTTCGCCGTATTCTCCAGTGCATTGACTGACACTGTCTTCTCAAAGTAGTCAATCAGTGCAATATTATAAGTGCTGTAATTCGTCAAACATTCCACCCCCTCCTCCCCCTCATTGGTGATGCTGTAATCCAAGCATGATAGTAGTAGACGTAATAGAGGATTGGGTTGACATAATGTAAATTTTGTTTTTGTAATTGTATTAATTATCACGAGCTATAATAAAAACAAGTAGGCCTAAAACTAACAGATGGTTCTAACATATTTTATTAGGCTATAAATATTTGACTATATTACAGTTCCCCCTTAAAGCTCTTGTCTTTTTCTCCTTTTCCATCTCTCCAAACCTATTCTGCTCACGGGTGATTAGAGATGAGTGGATAGCACACACCTCCTGCTTTGTTACAGTTTGCTGATTTTTGTAAAATAACTTCTGTTTTTGCTTTTCAAATAAAAGGGTGGTTTCAGTTTAATATGTTGCAGGCTCATTTATTGGTAATAAATAATTGATAAATAATATTAATGATAATAAATAATCAAACAATATTGGGCTTGTTTTTGAAGCTGCGGTTGCAACAGTGGTCTGGAACACACAAACAGACTAACAAGTGCAAGAGTAAAGTTCCTGTAGAAAAAAATCCTATTCATTTTCTCAGCAGGGGAATTGATTTTGAATGATAACTTATACCTTTTTATAGACCGACCTACTGTGAGCTACAAGGTTGTTGATTGATGACATATGCCTTTTGTTGAAGCCATCAGTCTTTATTATTTAATTTTGTTTAACAGTGGAATTCTATAAAGAAATTTCCACCAGAGAATCGTGTCAAGTAAATAATGGCAAAAGAACTGTTTAGTGCCCACCCACTCCTATCAAACACTGCGAATGATGTACAGTAGAGTCTGTTTCCCTATGCTATCAACATACTTAAAGGGATAGTTCACCCAAAAATGAAAATTCTGTCATTAATTACTCACTCTCGTGTCGTTCCAAACCATAAGACCTTCGTTAATCTTTGTAACAAAAAAATTAAGATATTTTTGAAATGTTATGAAATTTTTCGTAATGTTATGAAACTACAAGAATACTTTTTGTGTGCAAAGAAAACAAAAATAACTACTATATTCAACAATTTCTTCTCTTCCGTGTCAGTCTTCGCTGCCTGATCAGGAGAGTACCACGGCGCATGCATGTGGTGTTGCTGACGCAGGAGCCGGCGTTCTGACTTAGAACCCGGATGAGCTGCACCTTGTTTACAAGCGGAAGAAGACTGACACGGAAGATAAGAAATTGTTGAATAAAGTCATTATTTTAGTTTTCTTTGCACACAAAAAGTATTCGCGTAGCTTCATAACATTATGGTTGAATGACTGATGTTACATGGACTATTTTAACGATGTCCTTACTATATTTCTGGGCCTTGAACGTGTCAGTTGCGTTGTTGTCTATGCAGGATCAGAAAGCTCTCGGATTTCATCAAAAATATTTAAATTCGTGTTCCGAAAATGAACGAAGGTCTTACAGGTTTGGAACAACATGAGGGTGAGTAATTAATTACAGAATTTATTACAATATTTCTATTCCTAATAGGCATATTTGCCAGTAAACATTCACCTCATAGCTGGATGGTTTAGTTAATGGCTTATAACCTTCTTAAACAATGTTTTTTTTTTAAAAACCTCTATGGGAAAAATATATGGACAAAATAATTCTGGAACCAAGGCCAAGGAAAGTGGGCACGCACTATTGCACTTTACGGTTGTATAATAAAGATCATAATTTTAGATAAGATTAGATTAAGTAGGTTATATATGTTATATATGTTGAATATACTGTAGTATTATGGATTCTTATGTTTGTGATTTTCAGTGTTGTTGGAAGGTCACATGCAGAAGAGTCCATATTCCAGAGGTGGGTCTTGTGGACTGGGGGGAGTTTGAAAACGAGGAGCACCCCTCCCCCAAAAGCGGCAGCCCCCGCGTTCTCAATCCCCTTCGCCTTTTCACCCGGGGATCCCCTGGGTTCAAGAGCAACAGGAGGGAGATTACATATTTGGAAAACATCGAGGACTCTTGGGACTGGTTATCTAACCAGACGGATGTCAGAGAGGTGCAGAGCAGGACTAAACGCAGACCAATCGTGAAAACGGGCAAGTTTAAAAAAATGTTCGGCTGGGGTGACTTCAACTCCAACATCAAAACTGTGAAACTAAATCTCCTCATTACAGGCAAGATAGTGGACCACGGCAACGGCACGTTCAGTGTTTATTTCCGCCACAACTCCACGGGCCTGGGGAACGTCTCCGTAAGCCTGGTGCCGCCTTCCAAGGTGGTGGAGTTTGAGATCGCCCAGCAGTCCACCCTGGAGACGAAAGACTCGAAATCTTTCAACTGTCGTATTGAGTACCAGAAAACAGACCGCAGCAAAAAAACTTCACACTGCAGCTATGACCCGTCCAACACGTGTTACCAAGAATCCACGCAGAGCCACGTGTCCTGGCTCTGCTCGAAGCCCTTCAAAGTCATATGCATCTACATTGCCTTCTACAGCACTGACTATAAACTGGTGCAGAAAATCTGCCCAGATTACAACTATCACAGTGAAACGCCATACGCATCCATGGGTTAAGATCCAGTCCATCCTAGACAGTGAGAACGGTCAACCTCATTTTCATCATATTTCATTTGATTTAGAAGCAATTAAAATAAATCCAGATGTTTCACATTAGGCTACACTATTGGCTTTTGGCTTAAAACGTCCCACATCCATCCCAAGGTTTGAGTTCCATTGGGAATTTTTTTTTCCGAAAACACATCTTTCGCTACTGCTCATGTTAATAAACCACAGACCTACTGAGGATAGATTGCATATGAAACACCTTTTTATTGTGAGGTTTATGTGTGTGTTTGTTTTATTGAGCAATGTGGCCTCTTGTTCAGCACTAAATTGTGTGAAGCATTTGTGCAGTTGTCAAGATAAGTGCGAACGGGTTAAATCATTCAGCAAAGACATTACATACAAATTACTCTTATTTATTTAGTATTTCACAAAAGATCTATGTGTGAATTGAGTTTTGTGTAAAATTTCAAAGAGTAATTTGCAATGTCTCATGAGAGCATAATTCATTGGACAGGTGGATTTAGTGAATCTGGCAGCCGGTTAACAACCCTTTGTCATGGTCTCGCCACAGAGATCCACATTTCCAGGCTCTAATTAACATTAATTATAGTGGGAAATTTCACTTACAAACCATGACAGAGGGGCCCGGAGCCAAAAACTGAAATTTAGCATGTCAGTCATGTAGCAAACATCTATTCATGCCAGTGACTTTGTATTGGAATCAAACTCTTTCATGTCCTCTGTTCCTGAAAAAGTGAAAATGTGTAAGGAGTAAATTTATGCAAACGTACATGAGGGTAATTTAATACAATATGCGAGTCTACCTTGTATTTAGTCTTTCATAATTTAAAACAGTATATGGAGAACATTTGAAATAATCATTTTTGTTTGCACATTATAGTCTAAATGTCAGTGTGTCACAATGAGCCAGTTGAAATGCCATAGTCTGATAATCAGAACTGGAATTCTCAGGTTCCATATGTGTGTGTGTGTGTGAGTGTGCCAAACAGATTATGACCGTTTATTTCATTTTTTCCATATCAAGGGCGACTGATCTGGATCGCAGTTCTGCTCGAAGTGAAGAATCAGATTGATAATTAATTGTACTGATACTCTAATTGTCTTGCCACATGAACATTAGCATCAAGAACATGTCGATACAAATATAGCTGTTTATAATTGTATTTAGTTTATAATCTCATGTGCAATTTTGTGAATAGTGTATAAATGTGACTATAAAACCGTGTGTATTTTGCCTTCTAAGGATGAATTTGTTTCTTTAATCTATCAATCCAGCATAAACAATTGTATTACTTTTGGTGTTTGACAGTTATATCAAGTAGATATAGAGCGGAGTCATCTAGCTTGTCAAGGCTTTATTTTCAGCAAATTGTATGCTTTATGTTTGTCTTCAATATCTGTAAAGTGCAAAAGAAAAGAAAAAATCCCTCAAAGAAAATACCTGAGAGCTTCCAGCTTTCTTTTAACCCTCTATGGTACACATTTGCACTGATTTGCTATGAAACAATTTTCACTCAGAAATGACTAGTACATTTCACAAAGAAATTGCAAGCAACACATTAAATTAAATAATTTGTAAGTAAAAAGACAGAAATAGTCTTGTAAAAATCTTTTTTTTATAGTGTGAATAATTTCTTGTCTTTTTTAAATCATTGCACATATTATTTATACTTAAATATTTCCCTAAAAAACAAGTTCCCTTTTGATACTACACGTACTGCGTCTTGCTAGAAGCATATGGGAAAAAGCCTTTTTTCTCCCGAACTGAAGCCTTTTTTCATTCACGCATTGAAACTGCACGGCCATTGGTTCGTGCAGTGTATTAAAAATTAACCAATGGCTAGGCAGCGGAGCTGTACGAGCCTATGGCGATGAAGCCCGCCAAAGACTGCTAAAGCCCACCAGAATGGGTGGGGCATCTGGCTATATAAGCGGGCGTTCGCCACAGGATTCTCAGATTTCTTCTCCTTCAGCGATGACTCTACGTCTCTACGCTGATCCGAAGCCGCTCGCCGTTGACACGCCTTCGCAGCTGGAATCGGGACCTCTCAGCACGGCTGACCTGCTTCTCCGCCGCTTCAGCGACACAGCAGTTCCGGTCCATTTCCCCTGCTGCCATCCGGCGATACTAAAAGAGCTACTAAAAGAACTTGGCGTTGTTGCAAATGCCACGCCATTACTGCGGTTTGTGCGGGTCTCCCCTGCACGCTGATGACGGCCACACGGAGTGCTTTTCCTGCTTGGGGAAATCCCATGTGGAAGCAGCACTCACGGGAGCTATTTGTTCCCGTTGCAAGAACTTCAGTCTCGCCTCTCTCCGCTCACGGATTGCTTTCTTTTCAGAGAGCGACTCCGCCCCTCGCACCCTCCCGTTTTCTTCCTCCCAGGGACCTGGAAAAAACAGCCGGGCAGAGGGCTCGAGCGACCGGCTGCGAGCGAGCCCCCGTCGGTCCAGATCCCGCGTGCCTCGCTCTCACCCCAGAGAAGTGTATTCTCCCGTCCTTTACTCCCAGTCTGATCAGCGTCCCTCTGCTGGTGTGAGTGACCTGATCTCATTTGGGGGAAGTGAGGACGAGCTGCTTGATGACAGCATATCATTGGCAGCATCGGATGCAGAGGAGCTGTTGGGTTCGGTGAATGACCCCACCCCCTCGCCATCGTCCGCGCCCAGCACCACCAAAGATGGGATGGATGCCGAGCTTCTCCGTATCCTCTCCAAAGCGGTTGAAGAGCTGGGTTTAAAGTGGTCTCCGCCAGAGGAGCCCTCCTGGCGGTCTGGATGATTGGTTCCTGCCGGGGCGCCGCCAGGCCCCTCGTCAGCGTTCCTCTCCATTTTTCCTGGAGGTCTATGACAAGCTCACCAGATTGTGGCGCGCTCCCTACTGAAGCTATGCGACATTTCCTGCCTAAGTACTCCAGCTCCACTGCTGCCTCTGCTCGCCCTAAGTCTGCCAGCACCTGCCGCCCGCGCCGTTCAGCCCGCTAAGGCTCGGCAGACGTGGGGACGCTCTCGCTCGGCCAAATGCTACCCTCTTCTTAAGCGCCAGGGACCCCGACCCAAGATTGCGTTGGACCAGGCGCATTAGGCATCATCCTGATCTGCGAGACAGGAAGAGGATGGGGTCAGATCTCGCTATGGCCGGACCGCCCCTCAAGGCCATCCCCGGAGTGTCGAGATGGGTTATGGGGATAATAAAATGAGGATATTCACTCCAATTCGCTCGAAGACCCCCGCGCTTCAGCGACGTGGTCCCCACCTCAGTGCAAAGAAAGGATGCTCATGTCCTGCACTCAGAGGTGATGAATCTGAATCACGCCCTCATGAAAAGGTCATTCAGGATGATTACACTGAAACAGATCCTCGTGCAAATTCACTCAGGGGACTGGTTCTTTTCTCTGGACCTGAAGGATGCATACTTTCACATCCAGATAACCCCCCGTCACAGGCGATTCTTGAGATTCGCGTTCGAGGGAGTGGCTTATCACTTTTACGACGTGCATGGACTCACTCTCACTACCCTCTGAGACAGATGGGAATCCGCATTCTCAATTACCTCGACGACTGGCTCGTTCTGGCCCAGTCGGAGGCAGAATTAATATCACACAGGACCCTCCTCCTCAGCCACCTGGAGTGCCTGGGACTCAGGGTCAATTTTGCCAAGAGCACGTTGTTCCCCAGCCAGTGAATATCGTTCCTGGGAACAATTTTCGACTCAGCCCAAATGAGAGCTGTAGTCATGTCAGACCGGCGACCTCCTTCGAGATTGGTTCCACTCGCCCTCTCAAAGCGTTTCAGAGGATGCTGGGCCTCATGGCGGCAGCATCGCCAGTGCTACAGTTGGGTCTGCTTCGTATTGCCCCCCTTCAGCGCTGGTTGAAACCACGGGTTCCATCCCATGCGTGGCGTCAAGGACGCCTGCAGATCAGGGTGAGTCAGGCCTGTGTAACAGCCCTGGCCCCCTGGAAGAACTCCCAATGGATGGAACAGTGCGTGGCCATGGGGATGGTTTGCAGAAGGACAGTTGTCACGACAGACACCTCCAACTCAGGTTCAGAAAACAACTCTCACTGCCCAATTTATTTCTCAAAGACCAGGGACGCGTTGGCCCACCATTGGCCCAACCTCCTTTATGTTTTTCCCCAGATCGCTCTGATCCCACAGGTAATCAGGCGAGTAAGGGAACAAAAACACAAGGTTCTCCTGGTGGCCCCCCTTTGGATGAACCATCTGTGGCTATCAGAGCTAACTCAGCTGTTGATAGCGGCCCCTTGGCCTGTTCCGCTGAGACAGGATCTCCTCTCTCAAGCGAACAGGACAATATGGCATCCTCGGCCCAACCTATGGGCCCTGCACCTTCCTAAGGGGTGCCAGGAGGCTGAATCCGCCTCATCCCCCTACTGTCCCTTCATGGGATCTGCCCACTGTGCTGAGGGCCCTGAAGGGCCCTGCTTTCGAGCCGCTACAGTCTGCCAACATTCGGTCGCTATCGCTGAAGACTGCTCTGCTTCTAGCACTGGCATCAGTAAAGCGAATAGGGGACCTGCAGGTGCTCTCTATTAGCCCTGCCTGGCTGGAATTCGGGCCTAACGACACTAAAGTCGTCCTGAAACCAAGGCACGGTTACGTACCTAAGGTGCTCTCCACTCCGTTCAGAGCACAGGTCATTACGCTCTCCGCGCTTCCTCCCTCTGAAAAGGACAGAGAGCTATCTCTGTTCTGCCTCATCAGAGCTCTGAGAATCTATATTGAGCATTCCGCACCCTATAGGCGGTCGGAACAACTCTTTGTCAGCTTCGGTAACCGCACCAAAGGGCTTCCGGTCACGAAGCAAAGACTCTCTAGAGGGATAGTAGACTCCATCTCGCTAGCGTACTCTTCTTTGGGTCTTCAATGCCCCATTGGAGTACGGGCCCACTCGACTAGAGGCATCGCCTCGTCTTGGGCATGGTCCAGTGGTGTGTCCATTGCGGATATTTGTGAGGTGGTCAGTTGGGCCTCGCCGTTCACATTCGCAAGGTTTTATAACCTGGAAGTCCCGGCCTTGCAGGCAAGGGTCTTTTATGCTTGAAGTGACATGCGCTGTGTAAACAGATCTGGCAGAGAGCCCTTGGCCGTATCACGCTCAAGCTCTCTGGCATTAGTTCACCTGCTAGCTCTGTGTAAACAGATCTGGCAGAGAGCCCTTGGCTGTATCACAC